TTTTTAAACAAAATTTGTAGAGAATTTTGTATTCTACAATATTGATAATAAATACAAATAGCAAAAAACCCATAGGAAATGAGATATTTCCAAAAAAAGCGCAAAAAACCGATTTTTGTGACCTTTGACCTTGAAATTTGATTGTTGCTTACACCCTACCATATGTAGGTTTTGAGACAACTTTTAGGGTGTCAATATACAAGTATTTACAGACTTACAGCTGGGTATCTCGAATTCCGAGGTAAACTTACTATAATGACTGGACTATTTCCTACGCAGACTAACTCGTAATTACGCCGCTAGCTTTTTCATATGCAATTATTACTGCCATCTCGAGGTGATCGGAATACACTAGCTAAAACCAGAACTTTCTCGAACCAACGCGGTAATTCCAAACATTTAAGTTTGCCTAATTATGATAACACATAGTACCACTACTCGCCACTAGATGTCGTTAAGTATCACAATACACAATAATAATTTAAATGCAAAAAAAGCGTAAGTTTGCTTAGGTCACGCACTTTGCGACTATCCTAGTCTATAAATATAGTTGAGGGCAAAAATTGACCCTTGGAACAAACTGAAAAAATCATTATGGGCCGAAGGCTTCAAAGTTTGGAGACCCCTGCACTAGATGAATGGTCGAAGCGAAAAATACACATTATGTCCTGTCAAACTGAAGTAAAACCATACCCAATAACACATTTCTTTTTTTTCACAGGGGAGATCAAGGACCACTGGGAAGTGTGAATTCACGGGATCAATCCCAAGATGGTTACGAAACATCCAATGTAGAAATTAGCAACTCTCGAGCAGATGATGATTCTGGTACTGAAAGGTATGGTTACGATGTAACAGGTCCCTATGATTCAAGATCAAGGGAGTATTCAACTGTTGCCCCCAATCCCTCGTACCCATATGATTCACAATCCAGAGCATATGTTTCTCAATCCGGATCATATGGTTCCAACTCGAGATCTTATGGTTCTCAGTCTGGCTCATATGATTCTCAGCCTGTAAAAGATAGATCACGATCATATGGCGCCGAGTCACGACCCCAGGATTCCCAATCTAGGTCATATTACGCATCTGGTTCTCAGTCTGAGTCTTACGGTTCACCACAAGGAACTGGAAGTTACAATTCTGAATCCAGGGGATATGACTCTCAATCTAGAGGAGTATCTGGTTCTCAGTCTGGGGCATATGATTCACCTCCTGAATCGACTAGTTACAATTCAGATTCCAGAGGATATACATCTCAGTCTGGCTCACCATCTGCTTCTAGAAGTTATAGTTCAGGATCCAGAGAATATAACTCTCAATCTGTTGGAAATGGAAAACAATCCAATTCACAATCATCAGCATACGATTCGCGGTCGGAATATTATGGTTCCAGAGGGTTTTCGGGGGGACGTACTAGTGGACAAGCTGATCAACTGGGCAGTTATAATGCACGTAGACCATATGAAAGTAGTCCATATGAAAGTGATCGACGATACTACAGTAGTTATGATGTATATGCTTCGTCTGGTATAGGAAGAAATGGCAGTGATAAATGTATACCAAAATGTTTTGCCGAGAAAGGAGAGAGGGTATGTAATTGAATATTGATTTTTGGAAAAACTGAATGAAGTAAATTTTTCAGGGACTACCTGGCAGGATGGGCATGCCAGGAGAGAAAGGTCAACGCGGTTTTCCTGGTGAAGAAGGAATGATGGGAGACAAGGGAGATAAAGGAGAAACTGGCTTAATGGGGCCCAGAGGACCAAAAGGCGAAAGGGGTAAAACAGGTATTCCCGGATACTCCGGTCTTCATGGAATTCCTGGAATTGCAGGCCCCCCAGGAGCACCAGGAACTCCCGGTATGGACGGCTGTAACGGTACCGATGTATGAATACTGCGAGTTCAATAAATGATCATTTTCAGCAATTAATTGTTTTCTAGGGTCTTCCTGGAGAGCCTGGTTTTCCAGGTCCACCAGGTCCCAGAGGTATTCCAGGACCAACGGGTATTAAGGGAATGAAAGGAGAAGCAGCTCATTGTGAAATTACTTTAAAAGGGCAAAAAGGGGAGCCAGGTCGTGATGGCGTTACGGGCCCCTCTGGAAATCCAGGTCCTTCTGGCCCAGCCGGATTCCCAGGTCCAAAGGGAGAATATGGTCTACCGGTAAGGTAAAACTTTCTTCTATGATTTCTTAGACTGAAGAAAAAACTTACAGGGTCCCACAGGTCCCCCTGGTCCTAGAGGTTACAAAGGGTCTATGGGCGTGGGATTTTATGGTAATAAAGGTGAGAAAGGAATAATGGGTCCTCGAGGACAGAAGGGAGAACCAGCTGATGGGCACCACGAACAAAACCAGACCGCTTTGGTGGGGCCGATGGGAGAAAAGGGAATGAAAGGAGATCGAGGAGAATACGGTTTTCCAGGACAGAAAGGGGAGCCGGGACCAGAAGGTGATTACGGCATCCCCGGAATGGCGGGATCTAAGGGAGAAAAAGGATTACCTGGAGCCCCAGGTCAAAGAGTAAGGGCCTCACTTGAAAAAAATTATTTGAATTACGAATTACAAATTTAGAAACTCAGTCTTTTATGAAAATATATAAATTTATCAAGTGCCTAATAGAGGTTTTTCAATATTTTCATTATAAAAACGTCAACATTTCGTGAATCCCTTATTTACTACATCAATACCAATTCTGAATATTTTAAAAATCAATAGGGAAGAGATGGGTTTGCTGGTCCCCCAGGACCTCCAGGACAAAAAGGAGATCGAGGATTAACAGGACTTTCGGGATTGGCTGGAAGACCAGGTCTTAAAGGAGAACCCGGAAGAGATGGATCACAAGGTCGAATAGGATTAACAGGTCCTCCAGGTCCACCTGGAGGCGGTAAAGGTTTTCCCGGCCCTCCAGGACCCCAAGGACCACGAGGATATCCGGGTCCAATGGGACCCAAAGGAATGGATGGTTTTCCTGGTGAACCAGGATTGAGGGGACCAATGGGACCTCCTGGCGGTTTAGGGATTCCAGGAACGCCTGGCCCTGAGGGAGCACCGGGGGAAAAAGGAGAACCAGGAGAGGCTGGTGCAGCTGGTCTCCCAGGTGAAGATGGGCCCAGAGGATTTCCAGGACCCACCGGACCCCAAGGGATCCGTGGGCTTCCAGGCGATAAAGGTGTATCCATAATGGTGAGTATTTTTTATATTTGATTGGAGTTGTAGATAAACGAGAATCAGACAAGAAAGAAAGGAGAGAAGGAAAAAAGAGAAAATATTCTGAAATTGATCAACTTGGTTCAATTTGATTTGAATATAATGTTTGGATTGAACATTTAATATTAATGAGTTTTAAACATTAGGGACCCAAAGGTGAAGATGGTGAACCCGGACGTGACGGTCAAATAGGGCGAAAAGGAGAAAAAGGATTCAGTGGTCCTAGAGGAACGCCTGGTGATGCGTTGAACGGTATACCTGGATTCAGTGGACCACCAGGTCAACAGGGAGAGAAAGGAAATGCGGGTCGGCCTGGAATTCCTGGAAATCCAGGTATACCTGGAGAAAAAGGAGATATCGGAGGAAGATGTATAGACTGTCTACCTGGTCTTAGAGGAGAGAAAGGTGATCGTGGAAATGATGGAAGAGATGGGGCAGTTGGACCAAGAGGTCCTTCTGGTCCACCAGGTTTTATGGGACCACCCGGTCACGATGGTGTTCGCGGACGAGATGGACCTCCTGGTAACCCTGTATGTATTATCTACTCTTTGTCCCTTTTTTCGAAATAATTTGTGTAGTTCTTTTTAATAGTTTAGCTCTCTCCCTTCAATTGAGGTATGAGCATCAAGACTGATAATTTTGAATTCAAAACTACAACTTACAAAATATAAATAAAAAATAATAAAAGTTTAGTAACTGCCGCCTACATCTGGAAATTATTGTAGCTGATATCAATTAGGTGCATGATTTCTTAGAGTTCTTGTAGAATTGGAAAGTAATTCCATTTTATTCATTCAACATTGAAGTATCAAAGATACATATTCTTAAGTTTATTTTTCATTTGAGTGAAAATACATTTTTGAATGTTTGTATTCTTGTATATTCAATAGTAATAACCGTTGAATTTTCATCATCAGGGAACACCTGGCATAGATGGAAATCCAGGATCACCAGGATTACCTGGAAAACCCGCTATGGTACCGATCAACTTGGTTAGAGCTGAAAAGGGAGAAAAAGGTTCGCGAGGACGAGATGGTCCACAAGGACCCAAAGGTTTTCCTGGTCCAATGGGACCTAAAGGAGATACTGGCTTACCTGGTTTCCCAGGAGAAAAAGGTGATAGAGGATACGATGGCTTCACAGGTCAAGATGGAAAACCAGGTGAACCTGGAGTACCTGGAATCAAGGGTCAGAAAGGTGACAGTATCAAGGGAGAGCCTGGAAACACCGGTTCGCAAGGAGAAAAGGGAGAAAGGGGAGAAGATGGACAACAGGGTGAGGTTGGAGCCCCAGGAACTTGTCCACAGAATTATGAGATAAAAGGCAACGAAGGTCCTGGCGGTCAAAAAGGAGAACGAGGATTCCCTGGTAGGGATGGAGAAAGAGGGGAGAAAGGTGATCAAGGAAATCGTGGACCAAGTGGACCTCAAGGTCAAGATGGACCTCCAGGGCCAGTGGGTCGAAGAGGTTTACCTGGACCAAGAGGAGACAAAGGTGACATAGGTCCGATGGGATTCCCTGGTGAACAAGGAAGAGACGGTACTCCTGGTTTACCTGGTTTGTCTGGAGCCAAAGGAAACAAAGGAGAAGCAGGTATTCCTTCTGTTGGTCCACCTGGACCTGTAGGACCCATGGGGTTGAAGGGAGAAAAAGGATTGCCAGGTTTCCCAGGAAAGACAGGCCCGCAAGGAAATGACGGTTTTGCTGGTTTGATGGGAGAGAAAGGAGACGTAGGCGAGCCTGGCCGTAATGGGCTTACAGGATCTCCAGGAGAAAAAGGAGAACCGGGTCCAATCGGGCCGGCTGGAATTGATGGATCTCCAGGAAGACCCGGACCAGAAGGAGTGAAAGGTGAACCCGGTCTCAGAGGAGAACCTGGTAGACCTGGTCTTGCTGGATTTCCAGGTTTCAAAGGTGAATCTGGCATTCCTGGTGCTCCTGGTGCTAAGGGTTTCAAGGGAATGATTGGTAGGCCAGGATCCCCTGGTGTTCCTGGAATGGATGGTATGCCTGGTCTTATGGGTGAAAAGGGAGAACGTGGTTTCTACGGTCCTCAAGGCCCACAAGGTTTGATTGGAATGCCGGGTGAAATGGGCCCATCTGGTGAAAAGGGTGATATTGGTTCTTTTGGTCCTCCCGGTCTTCCTGGCCCAAGAGGTCTTCCAGGGTTGAAAGGACAGGCTGGTTTACCTGGACTTACAGGCCGAAAAGGTGAACCGGGATCTGCATCCGAAAAGGGTCAGAAAGGAGAACATGGTATTCCTGGATTACGTGGACCTGAAGGATTACCTGGCCAACCAGGTTTCATTGGACCCAAAGGAAATTCTGGATTACCTGGTAGAAGCATTCCGGGAGCACAAGGAGAAAAAGGTGATACTGGTCCCTTTGGTGAGGATGGATCACCAGGAATGAAAGGTGCCAAAGGAGAAAGAGGCCAAGCTGGTTTCCCCGGACCTAAAGGAGATAGAGGATTTCCAGGAATGATGGGACAACCAGGTATTGACGGTTTAAATGGACCACAGGGTGAGAAGGGAGATCGGGGATTCCCAGGCCAGCCCGGATTCGAGGGACAGAAGGGCGAGAGAGGATTACCAGGAATAGATGGGATCGATGGTCAAAAAGGAGAACAAGGTCGAACAGGAGTGCCAGGAATTGTTGGGGCACCCGGAGATAAGGGCGACTATGGAGAAAGGGGACCTCCTGGTCCATTGGTACAAGTAAAGGGAGAAAAAGGAGAACCAGGTCCTTTCGGTATTGAAGGAAGGCAAGGAGAGAAGGGAGATCGCGGTTTTCAAGGAGAGATTGGTCTTCTAGGCGAAAAGGGAGAAATAGGTTTTCCGGGCATCAAGGGAGACATTGGGTTACCTGGTATACCCGGAGATAAAGGTATTTACATCATCATTTAGTTATTTCTAATAACTATGAAAATTTTAGTTGAATCTATATTTATTTCAACACTCCACTCATCTCATTTGAGTTGGGAACATACTTACGCATCGGATTTCTGTTGAGAAGGTTTGATCTTCCTTTTGGAGATGATCACTTGATCAAAACACGTGTAGAGGTGTTGAAATAACCGTTTAATGTTGGGAAAAACTCCAGTAATATACATAAGGCATGTATTTCATAATAACATAATGCTATTGAGTAGTATTGATCAGTCTGAAGTATTTTGTGGTTATTTCAAATTATAAAAAACCTTTGACTGAAAGGGAGCAAGCTGATATTGCTAACAATTAGGCATTCTGTGACGATGAAGTTAGACTTTTTTGATACCGATAGTTCAGTGGCTCCTCACCAACACCTCTCTGGAATACATTTCATCCTCGGAAAGGTTTCCGCGGTCAGCAATTTGGTATTCAGTAGTTCGAGTTGAACCACGTCTATAGTTTTCATCTGTTCGAAGTTTCGACTTCTGCTTCGAAGCAATCTCCAAGAACCACTGGAAACTGAAATTACATGACTCGACGACGAGGTCGTAATCTACCTGACCACCAAGTTTCATCACTAGCTTTGTTCTTGCTTTGTTCAGTACCAAGTGAACAGTATTCTTAAGAGGAAGTCGTCATATTCAAGAAATTCAACAAACCTTCCCTTATTAAGATTTTATGAAACGGAAGGCTGAGTTTTTTTTATTATTCAATCTACCACAACAATTTTCACGTTATGGTAATGTGACCTCTTACAATGTATACTGAAATTTGGATTCTCCCAAACCCAATGTTGGCCATTTTGCGATGAAACCATATAGTTCGTGTGAATATGGCCTCATGATTGACGAAAATGTCTGTCATTCAAACCATTCTTTGCCGAAAATACAATAAGGCGAAAGCATCATTCTACCTAACACTTCGATAATCAGATAAGTCTTGGTAGAGCCTGCAGAGTTTGAAGTGTGAATCTCGATACTTCATTCGGGTTCCGCTTATTTTCGGACGATTTTCGCTTCACCCGGAGCACAAAACTCCATGATGAATATCTTCTTACTTTGATGACCGAGCAAATGATCCTGGTGTAGTCCTCACCAGGATCATTTGCTTGTATCTGCCTAGTTATTACTTTGATAAATTTATAATATATACCAATTTGTTCAGGTGAAAGAGGCTTCCCTGGATTAACTGGATTGCCAGGACTAACTATTAAGGGAGAAAAGGGACTCGCTGGTCTACCTGGAAAGAACGGAAGAGAAGGTTTACAAGGGTTCCAAGGAGAAAAGGGTGAGCAAGGATTGCAAGGACTACCAGGAAGAACGGGACCACCCGGACCCCCTGGACCTCTAGGTTTACAAGGTCAAAAAGGAGACACAGGTTTTGATGGACCACCAGGACCAGTTGGACCAATGGGACCACCAGGTAGGCCCGGTTTGGAAGGAGCACCAGGAATCATGGGGGAGAAAGGAGATAGAGGACCTCCTGGCTTTATGGGTGCACCTGGAGAAAAAGGTGATCGTGGCTTAACTGGATTACAGGGACCACCTGGTTATCCAGGAACAAAAGGAGATAGAGGATTTGATGGAACACCGGGATTACCCGGTCCAGTTGGCCCGACTGGCCCAAAGGGAGATGGTGGATTCCCAGGTAAACCAGGATTCGATGGAATACCAGGAGAAAAAGGAGACAAGGGTGAACCTGCCCCACAAGGATTTCCAGGTCCAAAAGGAAATACTGGCCCACCAGGAACACCTGGCTTTCCTGGTGAACGGGGTGCACCTGGTATTGATGGTTTACCTGGTGTGCCGGGAGTGAAAGGTGACAAAGGAGACAGAGGTTTCCCAGGAATTGCAGGTACTCCGGGTCTACCTGGTGAAAAAGGAGACCGAGGAATACAAGGTTTAGTTGGTCTGCAGGGAGCTATAGGCGACATTGGTCCTAAAGGGGAGCCCGGAACACCTTGCGTTGATATACCAGACTATCTAACAGGAACATTATTGGTCCGTCATAGCCAGTCTAGAGAAGCGCCTCGATGTGAAAGTGGTCATATTCAGTTATGGGAAGGATACTCTCTACTATATGTTGAAGGTAATGAAAAGGCTCACACTCAAGATTTAGGAATGGCAGGTTCGTGCATTAGAAGATTCTCCACAATGCCGTTTGTATTCTGTGACGTGAATAATGTTTGTAATTATGCTAGTCGGAATGATAAATCATACTGGCTCTCCACTGGTGCACCCATCCCAATGATGCCAGTTGAAGAATCCCAAGTAGAGGAGTACATTTCGAGGTGTGTGGTGTGTGAAGCACCGGCTAATGTAATAGCAGTACACAGTCAATCATTGTCTCTGCCCGATTGTCCAAATGGATGGAGCTCTCTCTGGATAGGTTACAGTTTCATTATGGTGAGTTCGTATGCAATAGTATTCTTTCGTTTGAAATTGATTGACAATGGTTCATGATAAATTCCATTAGTTCGGACTTCCATCATCTATTATTATATTGAATGTCATCAATCGACTAAAAGAGGAATCATCAAGACTCTTTTAGACTGTGCTTTCGAGATTTGTAATACGAAGAAAGGACATCATCTAAAATGATCTTCAACAGAATGGCTACTCCAAAGCGATGGTGAAACAGACTGTGGCTAGAAGACAGTAAGAGCCTCGCAAGGAGCAGAAACCGCCACAACCAGTGTTTGCACTTCCCTACGTCGGAGGATTGTCGGAAAGGACAAGAAGAATTGGGTCCAAGAGAAGCATCAGATCCGGAAACATCATCCGTAGAAACATCACGAAAACCAGGCCACCAAACGCGGACTGCGATTCCAAGAATTGCATTTACCGGATACCCTGTGAGTGCGGAGAATCATACATCGGTGAAACTAAGAGCCATTGAAACTTCGCATTGCCAAGCAGAAAAACACACACAGCGAGGAGAAATCAGCAAATCAGGAGTAGCAGAGCATAATTGGACCTGTCAGCATAACATCGAGTGGTCCCAAGCTGATATCATACACAGGGAGGAACACTGGTTTAGGAGGAAATTCAAAGAAGCCGCATACATGTTGTCCAACAATGTATTCAGCCAAGCTAGCGAAGAGATACGCAATATATGGAAACCCATAATCAAGCGAAAAATAGCCAACTCTCTCCAAACGGTCATCTCCCGCTTAACAGGTGAAGTTGAGAGAGGAGATAAGTGAAAGTACTCGAATGACCCAGAAATAGTCATTTCACGGAGGAATTAGTCCAGTCATCACCCGATTGTGGATACTAACAATCAAAACGTCGTGAAGTAACTTGGCTTGGAATCTCTTTATTTTTTATTTTTCGTTCAACTGTTCTAATTTTTAAATATTACTGGAGTTTTGCCCCACACCGAACCGTTATTTCAACTCCTCGACACGTGTTTCGATCACCAACTGATCATCTTCAAGAGGAAGATCTTCCTCCTTCCTTGGTGGAGATCTTCGTCTTAAAGATGATCACTTGGTGATCGTAACACTTGGTGAGGTGTTGAAATGATGGTTTGGTGAAAAACTCCAGTGATAATCATTACTATACCAAAGGTTCCAAACAGTGCATCACAAGCCAGGGAAAATAATTCAAGAAGGTTTACTGTTATTCCATTTCAGAATTTTTTCTGTTCAATATAATTGTTATTTTTAGCTATTACTTCTAATTTTTCATTTGTGTTTTTCAGGGAATTCAAATCATTTTACATAATATCAGACGATGGAATTCCGAACTAATGTAAAAACAGTATTCTTATTTGGCATTTAAATACTTGGTTATGTGCAAGACGCTATAGATTCGAATACGTTTTTATGAATGCATATAATTCAAATAATTCGACAAAGAATTCTGGAGAACAGTTTCCTTTCCCTTTTAAAAACAAAGTTGAATACTCTAGTGAGCTTCTTTTCTTTTGCATATCATTCTAGGTTAAGTTGAAAAACAGCATAAGCTGAACTTCGCCTTTCATCGATTGTTACACTGTGTTTAATTTGTAATTATTCGATGAATAAAGCCGATTATATTATTATATTGTTTGACAGTAGAGGTGATCTATTCATTTCACGTGGATTTGTCGAAATGAATCATTATAGAAATTGAAAGAGGTGTATTTTTAGGAGGGATGATTTTTTGAAAAGAAAGATTTTGGCTCTGCACTTCTTGATCTTTAAACAGAAAATGTGAGAAGAAAGCAATTACTTCCCAAAAATTAAATATATACAAAGATATGTAGATTGTTCACAACTGGAAAAAAAGCCATTTCGAAACCATTAATTTCATATGAACATTGACGAAACTGAAGAGTCGTCTTACGAGTAGTATTCAGAACTTTTTCTATTTCGACGGATTCATTGATGTGAACATTAGGAAATAGTGAGTAAACCGCAAATTCAATCTCCTTCAAATGACCATTGTCATTACTATTATACAAATAAATGTGGATTCTGAAAGCTTTTATGAGTAATTGCCAGTGGATGTTGTGGCATAAGAAGATTGTGGCCATTTCTGGTCAAATATTTATGGTTGTGATTAACTTGAGGGGTGTTATTTTGTATCTTGATACAGATAAGACATTGAAATATGTATAGAACCGTAACGGTTAATATAATAATTTTTTTAAATAGAGGTCTCCAGCTGTCAGTTCGTTTTCCCCTAATAGCCGTTTTTTGTGAAATGAATATCCTTTACCAATCAGTTGAAAGTCCTCAAAAAACCAATCTGTATGACAGCTTAGACTGAAATAACCCCATGTAAGCTGCTCTCGAAACATAAGAGGGAACAAATTCATTGGTTCTACGAAGCAGGTTAATAGTGCTGGACAGCTTCGTAGAGAGATTTTTGATGTTTTCTTTCCAATTAAGTTTTTGATCCAGCGTTACCCCCAAAAACTTAATGAATTTTTGACTGTCCTTCAGTTCTCTTAGTGTGAACGTAATTGTTTTAGATTTCTTGACATTCAAGCATAACTTATTGGCTTATCATAAATAGTAGTATCATCGGCAAACCGAATCGTGTTGAGGGGGTTCATACGGTGTGGAATATCATTAACATATATTAGGAATAGTAGGGGTCCCAAGATTGACCCTTGAGGCACACCTGCTGTTACACTCACTGCTGGAGATCTCACACTACATTGTTCTACAACCTGATTTCGTTCGGATAGGTACTTTCCTCCTAATTCCATAGTACGGAAGTTTATCGAGTAGAGTCGAGTGTGACACACAGTCGAATGCCTTCGAGAGGCCACAGAATACGGTTGTGAGTGCTTCCCTCTTCTCAAAGGTATCCACCGTGAATCGCACTAGATCAGATATAGCAAGCGATATAGATATATTTTGTCTGAATCCAAACTGGGACTTTGAGAGAAAGTCGTTCGAATCCATAACAATGGTCTGCAAAAAAAAACAAAAAAAAATTTTTCGATTTCGTTAACTGATCTTTATGTAGTTTTTTGCGCTGATTTCAAAAATGACCTTTGTTTTTATCTATCACGTAAGGTTTGCCTACAAAACAAGAATGAAATGATTGAAAAAGTACAGAAAAAAGAGAAATTGTGTATTTATTTTTATTATTTAAACATAAAGTAAAAGCAAAAAAAATGCTACATAGCTAAACTGAGCATTATAGTGATACACAAGTGTTTGCAAAGTGATTATAAGTCTTTGTAAAAACGTTTTCTTTTTCCGTCAAATTTTTTTTGGTACTTTTTCGGCTGTGTTCTTGTGAATTTTCCCTTTTTAACATCCAACAGTAGTCTGCCATCGTGTTAACATTCCACCGACCTTGGTATCTGCGTTCCATTTCTTTAATGTCTTGATAGAATCGCTCTCCTTGTTCCTCACTTAGAGCCCCTAGATTTTCAGGAAAGTAGTCCAGATGTGAGTGAAGGAAATGGACTTTGATACTTATGTTGCAGCCCAACATTTTGTAGTTTTGTATCAATTCAGCAACCAAAGTTTTGTAGTTTGGGTCTTTTTTGTTTCCAAGAAAGCATGTTATAACAAGTTTGAATGAATTCCAGGCATTTTTTTCTTTCATTTTCATTTTAGTGACAAATCTTTCATATTTTTAAAGTTTTCTTATGTCAGGTGCAACGAAGACTCCTTCTTTTAGTTTAGCATCGGATAGACCAGGAAACTTTTCAAAAAGATACTTGAAACAATCTCCTTCTTTGTCTAATGCTTTCACAAACTGTTTAGATTCGTTTTGTTATTGAAATAAATAGATTAAAAACGTTTTTGGGAAAGAAAGTTTTTGGCTTTCTACTACTCCATCTTGATACAAAAAAATATCAAGCTTATTCCGTGACATTAAAAAATCGTAATTCACGAATGAAGTGTGTGTATTTTCTATAATGTTATCCAATTTGGTACTGAAGAGCCTTAGGGCAAGTGTCTTAAGGCGAAACATCGGTGTATACCAGTGAGGATGGCAGTGTTCTACGTAAGTGCATCTTGTTACCATTCATTTGAAGTAGAACTCATGTGAATGATATCTGATTTTTATTCCACAACGAATGTTTGAAATACAAACTGAGTAGAGAAAAGTATCTTCTGTATAATTCAGTGTTCATATAGAAGTGTTTGTTTCGAAAGAATTTTTTCTTTCGTATAATTCAATGTTTATATGAAAGTAGCTGTTTTAGGAGGACTTTCTTTCAGTTTTTGTCTGAAAGTTACTTCCTTGCATGATCTACACATCCATGTATAAAGTTACTTCCTTCCTTCCTTTGGAAGACTCCCTCATCCTTCTTTTTTTGTATCAAGATGGAGTAGTAGAAAGTCAAAAATTTTCTTTCCCAAAAATTAATCACTCCTAAAAAATATTTTGGCTCTTTGGAAAAATGATCTGTATTACAAATTTCAGACAGCATTTTCTACTTTTGCTTATTGTTTGAAATCTGGAATACCAAAAATAAGACTGTGAATCAAAACTAGTAGATAAATGAGTTAATATAATGTTATATTTTCAGCACACTGCCGCAGGAGCCGAAGGAGGCGGTCAATCACTCTCTAGTTCTGGCTCGTGTCTTGAAGATTTCAGGGCTTCTCCATTCATTGAATGTAATGGCGCTCAAGGATCTTGTCAATTCTTCGCCAACACCATGAGCTTCTGGTTGGCAACCATCGACGCCCAACAACAGTTCCTGAAACCCCAGAAACAAACACTCAAAGCTGGCAATGTTAGAGATAGAATTAGTAGATGCCAAGTTTGCATCAGGAATACGTAAAAATTGTCATTTTAGGGTACATCTTTCTAATGAAATGTCATCAAACACAAATATATATATCGACTTGTTGTTTACATTCAATCAGTTATTTTTTATTCGAAAGAAATACATGCAAACGAGAGGTCGATTCAATGATGTGTTCCTTCAATCCAACTAGCGTTCCTCGATCATCTCTCGTGATAATAAATAGAATTCGATGATCAGCACGTTAAAATGTATAGTGAGCTTTGTAACTTTTTAATACTGCCGTGCCATGTTTGTGTAACACAATAAAACATGTAAAGATTTTTGTATAGTTCTTAGCATTAAGTTTTATGTATGTAACTCTACCAAAACAAAAACAGAATTGCTACGATTAGTGGGAAAGCGTTCACTAATGTTTATCACGTTTTATAAATTTTAACTTAACCGTTACCTGTTGGATATATTGAAGACATATCTTCAGAAGAGAATATTTTTTTAATTTAATGATTTATGGTGCTATATATTCGTAAAATAATTTGTATTTGCTTTCGAGATCGCAGTGACTATAGGCAAGAAAAATCTCCATTGTGACATTCCTCTAAAAACTTCCTGGATTAATCCTCTAGTCAGCCACACACAATGACAAATCCCAGTTCATATTATTTTTATAAGCTGCCTCATTTGTTTTCAATAAACACTGCCATTTGTAAAATAAATCGTTGATGAAATTTAAAAGATATTTTATTCGCTTCTGATTGGTGAAAAACAATTGAAAACTATCTCTCTTTATGTAGTTTCTTAAAAAAAATACTACATAAAAATCGAAAAAGAATGAAATTACATTTTGATAAATTCATACAATTTTAACGAACCTAATGGAATACAAAGTCGTAGAAGTGCATTATTATGAAGTTTAAATTTTTTTTATATTCAATATTCAAGAAGTGATACATGACTTGANAAATAACAATTATATTAAGCAAAAAAACCTGAAATGAAATAATAGTGAAATAAAATACAAGTAAAAATAGAACAATTGAACAAAAAATAAATAAAAATAAAGAAATGAAAAAGAAAATAAAAATAAAATGTTGAGAGATTCCAAGCCACGTTAGTTCACGACGTTTCGATTGTTAGTATCTACAATCGTCTTCGGGTGATGACAGTCATCACGAACTGGTTTAAGTTTGACAATAGTCGTGTCACTAAGTGTTCTGGTGATGTCTTGAATTTATTGGAGCCTCATCTGGAGACACCCCACATTTTTTTTTAAGAACGATTGAATGAGAGGACATTGGCAGATCAAGATCTTCAGATAACGTGGTGCTGCGCCACTGTAATCAATGAAGTCGCCACAGAGCGCCAATAAATTTTTATTGTTTCTTCTTTAATGTATCCAAATTGTTCATAATATTATAAATCGGCTTCATTGATAATACAAAATACAAAAATGTTACAGGAGATTTTGGTACTCATTGTAGCTTAGAGTGTAGAGCTACTCAGACTCAACCCAAGAGCACCACTCTATAATGAATGTGAACAACAGAAACTGAAAAAAAATAAATAAACAGTGATAGTACCACGAAAAGAGGAAAATAAAATTGATGATTATACTCCAAAAAGTTGATAAATCAAATTGAAATGTTGCTTATTTATCATTCATTTGTCGAATGAGCAAAAATTGACTATCACATATATAATTTTTATATCTGTATTTGAATTTCCTGATACTGAATCCCTTCAATTGCTCAGGCAATGAATTGTTGAGTTCCACAGCAACGAATCTGTGCAGTGCAACGTCGTAGCACAGTTAAATTGTTTTTATTTCTAATATTCATTGAGTGGATATCTTCACGCAGAATTAGCCTTTGTATTAAAAGAGGGGAGTGTGGAAGAGCAAGCAATTTATGAATAAAACAACCCAAATGATGAATCATACGGTTTTTATATTGAACCAGAATAGGAATCATACTTACGAATTCCATAAATATGACTTCAACAATAATTTTGAACTTTTTGTATTTTTTTTAATCTAAATCATATAAGTATGGCCCATATATGGAATTACAGAAGTTGAAGTGGCTTAGCAACAAATTATTTCAAAATATTTATTTTAGAGTTTGGCTCAAAATAAAACGATTACAGTATAGGTTTTTCCATTAAATTTTTAGCATGATCAGTGAATCTAAGGTCGGTACCTAGCTAAGCTTGGAAATTGTTTTCTCCAAATTTACGACTCTTCTGCGATCCAAAATGCATCATCATTGTTTTATTAGGTTTAACTTTCGAATCATGTTCACTTGATAGATAATTGATGAAATCTAGATCAGCGTCAAAGAAATTTTGTGCCTCAGCATACTCATCCATTTCAAAATGCATATATAACTTTTTGTCATCAGCATAAGCCTGAATATTACAATTATTGATGGATGAGATAATGTCAGTAGTATAAATGAATAACAATAAAGGTCCCAAAATGAAACCATGTTGTACTTCAGATATAATATCAAGAGATAAGGGGTAAAATCAACCATGTTGACCAAAAAAACCTTTTGAGATATACTCAGTGAATAAGACCAGATGAGAAATAAGGCATCACCATTAAAACCAAAATATTTTCATATTTCCCATTAAGAAAGATGCTGGCACTCATCACTAATAACCGTATCGAAGACGAAACTTGGTTACATACATCACTTTCAGTTTCTGGAGGAGGATTATTGATTCGTTCAGTCACTTCACTCGCTTTGCCATCATTTCTGTCCTCATTTTGCAGTGTTTCAAATCTGATAGAAATCATCTTACAATACCTAAAATTTCAATATCTGATTGTGTTTTTGATTAGGGCAAATCTCTTTGGTAACCTTAAACTAGCCAAACAATGAGAATTTAAACCAACCATAGGGCATGGGATAAACCATGTAAATCAGCACATGCCCATAACTAATTATTGCTATATAGAATTCAATTTTTTCATCACAAGTATTAGAAACATTTTGTACGAACTGGATAAAATTCTTGTTTTTTTCATCGGGATTCGAAAGATGATTGGTTAGGTAATGAATATTATCTTATCATCACTGTTTCTCCATGCCTTCAAATTTTCGGTGAGTGAATTTACATTAAGAATCAGCATTGCACCCGTGCGGAGCCGATGTGGGTAGCTAGCATATGTATATTTGAAGAACCTTGTAAATGAATATTTTGATATATACATGCATTCCATTTAAAACGAGCCACCCTGAATAACTTTTGGTACAATGATTTTCAGAAAAAATAAAAAAAACACGTCAACAATAGTGTACAGGGGGACACATTTTGACATATTCACATTTGATCTAACTTTCCCTATCGAACCCCCAGAGCAAGTTCCCATTTTTTCTTTAAATTGATCATCCTATATTGTTTCGCATTATCAGATGCTCCACGATGAGCAGATTTCAACAAAGTATAAAAAATATGGTCTGAAGCTTATGGTTCGGGAGCTACAAATTATTTGAGAAAATCGAATTGAGAATTTAAAATATATACAGTGCATTCCATTTAAAACGAGCCACCTTGAATAACTTTTAAAACAACGATTTGCAGGAAAAATAAAAAAACAAGTCAACAATTATACAGGAGGCCACATTTTGAAATATTCGTTCTAGAGACAAATATGGAAGCAATAAATCAGAAAAAGAGATTTTTTATTAATTCCTGTTGTTGTTGATTCTATCTCATACACCTCAGACTTCAAATGACCCCATAGAAAGGAATCTACAGGGGGTGAGATCCGTAGACCGTGGTGGTCATTCTGTAGGACCTCTTCTGCAAATCCAGTGACTAGGAAAATTATCGTCAAAAATTGTCGCACTGAAGCTACATAATGACCCACACAGCACTAGATATTCATGGAATATTCCCTGTATATCATAAAACGAACGTATATATCAAATACCGTTTAGATCCT